TAATAGTAGTATATTCTCATTTTTTACATGAGGGACGCCAGTTTACAGGCATCATCAATATGATAAATTACATATACGATTAGTAAGCATATTTAATAAAAGTAATTTAATAAAATACATTTTTCCTACCTGTGTAAGACACACCAATTGTACAGGCATGGATAAGTATTATTTAAATTACATAAATTTGGTTCATGGTAAAATTATAAGGTTGCATTCATTTGTCTATGGGAACAATATGATAACTAGTCATTCAATGGAACACATCAAGAAATATAGAAATATTGTCTTCGCATTAACAAAAAAAACCCAAGTATGTTTTGGATGGATTACAAATACATGGGAAAAAAATAAAGCTTGAAGTAATTCTTCCATATAACTTTGGTGTGTACGGCATCGAGTCTTATTCTTGATTTATATCCAAATTTGATAATAATTTAAAATAAGTAATCCACTTGTATACTTTTGTCAGCATTTTCATCGTAACATCATAAGCTATAGACGTAGGCGGATGGAAGCAGTGCGTACGCCTCCCTACAAGAAATGAAAACACTCTTGACTTAATCCTTTGTCATGAAATAGAGCCCATCTCGATAGAGGTAGGAAATAAACTTGGTAACAGTGATCACAACATATTGTACTGCACGCTACCATTCCGACTAACAACTAAACACACACCTAAAAATTCCCCGGTGCACTATCAGTATAGGGACTATAAGAATGCCGATTGGGAATTCCTATCAGATCTGTTGAGAAGTTCTGACTGGGAAGAATACTTCATCAACAATAACTTAGAAGTATCACTCGATATTTTCTACAAAACAATTGGCTCAGCAAGAGACATAATCGCGCCCCTAAAATCTGCTCTAAAGACACCAACTCCATTTATAGACCGCAAAACGCGACTAAAACTAAAAAAATTGAAAAGGAAATACCATGTTTTTAAGGAATTTAATGCGTTAAACCAAATACATGAAACTCTTAAACGGCTTGAAGAGAAACACAAAATGAGGTCACAACTTGAAGAAAATAAAGCGCTTGTGGGCAACTCCAAAACTCAGGAACTTTGTAGGATATTGCAGAGACGTCTAAAAAGTAGTAAAGACAATACTGTAAGCAGCTTGGAGCATAATGGTATAATATACAATGATCCCCAGGTTATAAGTGAACTCCTCAATGAGTGGTTTTGCAATGACGCCAGAGTGCACCCGACCCAAAATTTCCAAATGACTTGCAAAAGCAACCACAAATTAGGCGGAATAGACTTTAATATACAAAATATAGACTCAGCGATTAAGACCTTGAAGTCTAATGGTAGTACTGGAACAGATGACATACCATCTGTCATGTACAAAAATGGTAGCACGGAAATGGTAGTCTTGTTACTTAGAATATTTACTCTCTCGTTGGAAATTGGAACTTATCCTGAAGTGTGGAAAACCACATACATATTACCTAAGCACAAAGCAGGGGCCAAAACCAGTGTATGCAACTATCAACCTATCAATATAACACCGGTAATATCCCGAATAATGGAGAAAGTGGTTAAAGACCAAGTGTCAGACAACTTACTAGAACATGAACTCATCAATCCATCACAACACGGATTTCTCAAAAAGAGATCATGCGTGACCTGTCACATAGACTTTTTCAATGAAGTTGCACGAAGTAGGGACAACAGAGAACTAGTAACTGTGCTCTATTTCGATATAACAAAAGCCTTCGACAGAGTTCCCCATAATCTGCTAGTCAGCAGGTTATGCTCACTAGGGATATGTGATCCTCTCCTGAGCTGGATAAAATCATTTCTCTGTGGCCGAAGTCAGACAACGAAAGTTGGCTCGATAATCTCAAGGCCTCAACCAGTAAGTAGTGGAGTAATCCAGGGAAGTGTATTAGGCCCACTCTTATTCATAATATATATAAACAGTATCTGTGAATGCTTTAGTGTAGGAAAACCAATACTATATGCAGATGACTTAAAAGTGACGTATAAATGCAAGAACACAGATCTTGGAATAACAGTAAACGCCATACAGCAAGAATTAGAAAAAATGGATAGATGGTGTGACACCTGGCAACTCCAATTTAATGTCGAAAAATGTGGCTGGCTCTGCATAGGTTGCAACAATTTAGAACTTGACCTGAAAATTCAAGGCCATGCACTTCAACGACTGGAATCTGTACTGGACCTAGGGCTGAAATATTCACATAACTTATCATTCTCTGAACACATCTCCAAACTAGTGTCAAAGTCACGCAGACTTATCAGCTTTCTACTCAGGAACTTCTACAGAAATGAGTCTAGAATTCTGTTGTACAAGGTTTGTGTGCGTCCTTTATTTGATTACTGTTCATTCATGTATAGTAGCATACGCATAGAGGACAAATTGAAAGTCGAGGGAGTGCAGAGGTACTTCACGTTAAAATTACTCGGAACCGGAAATGGTACGAACTACTCCACTAGATGTGATACCCTAGGACTAGAAACACTATGGCTAAGACGCCTGAGACTAAACTTGACACTTTACCTTAAGCTTCTAAACCACTTAGTTTTTACCTCTACTAATGGCACTCGACTTTCAGATGACAATGGCTACAAACTAAGACACACTAAGGGTACAGTAGCTATCGAACAATGTAAAACAGCCACCAGGCAAAAGTTTTACTTGATTAGGTATGCACAGATATGGAATAAACTGCCAATGGAAATGCGTCAAGCAAGTACAATGGCCTCCTTCACAAAAGTGCTTAATGACAAACTACAAGAGTTTGCAAACGATAGTAGTTCTAGTTCCTATCTGAGAGCCTCCGAAATTATAGGTCCATTTAATGTATAAGCTTAAATACTACACCTGTTGTTTTTGCCTATATTTATAATTCTAGATAAAACATTAACGGTTAACATACGTATCCTCAAACAGACAACAAATCTCGTTTGTACAACTACTACCCAACACAATAAGTGGAATAAAATGGACATAAACCGACAACATGAAAAAGGTATAACTCACCACAACATCACATGGACAGATGAACGCTCGTTGGGCACCATATATCCCTCACCAACTGCAACCCACCTTTCCTTAGATAATGTGATGAACTTATACCCATAATGTTGCTGAGCAGTTAATATTCTCAACTCCTGTCGGAACAGCTGAAACTCATAAACCTTCCTAACGCTAAGAAAATACCCGTAATCAGTAGAAATCCATTCATTAATGCGTCCGAAGCTTATGTACTTACTCCCAACAATGACATTGCAGATCAAATGAGATAAGCACATCATTGATTCCAAAATAACACATCCATGAACTATAATTCGAGGACTCTGCACACAACAAAGTTTTGTATGAATATTTACTTCAAGCTTTATTTTTTTCCCAGGCACTTATAATCCATCCACCAAAGACCTGGTTTTTTTGTTAATGCGAAGACAATACTCCTGTATTTCCTGTTGTGTTGCACTCACTGACAATCTAGCAGATTTTTCCAACTTTGCACAGAAATGATTGTATATAAGTGAAAAGGCTGTTTTATACTACTGGGATTAACATTTATCAAGTGTATGTATAATCTCCAGCGAACATGTAAAGCATATCTTGATACCGCCTGTAAATTGTGATTGAATTATACGGTTCTATTTCTGTAAAAATTTGATGATGACTGTAAACTGGCGTCCCTCATGTACTGTACTATGAGAATAAATTTATTTATCTATTTTATTATGCGATTCTGAGAATTTTGATTGAAGCTGACGATTCTATGGTACGTACGGGTGAAGGAATCGGTGAGGACGATACATCTGATTTTTGTATTTCCTTAGTTCCAAAAAGGCTTTCAACTGCGGCTCGTTCAGCAATTGGTGAATTCTTAAGAAAATTACAATATTACAAAGGTAAAGAGAATGCTATGTATGGATATGCTTACTTCTAACACTATAGTCAACTACTTCCAAAATATTTGACTGATTTGCTTTGGCATAAATGGCTACGTGGATATCTTCTGATGCTGCAAACAAGATCTAAGTGGTTGGATATAAAGCACAACCTACAACCTGATGATCTCGTCTTAGTCAACAGTGCTGACACACAGAGAGGTCTCTGGCGAAAGGCTATAGTTAGGCAGATGTACTATGACCAAGATGGCCACGTCAGGACAGTGTAATTGAAAACTTCAACTCAAGAAGTGGAACAAGATATAAGACGCGTACAAGAAGTCAACGTGGTGATCGTTCGCGGGGAGTGTTAATCGCGACAGATAGATAGACTATATCTTGCTCTATCTTGCCCGGTACGTTCGAACCAGGTGACGCTTTTTGCACGTGTTTTCGTTTATATTCATTTATTGCTTACTGTTGATTGATCTTTAATAACGATGGGCCGAAATTCTAAAAAGAGTGTTCGTGTGAACACCAGTAATTTAGAAAATAGCACCAGCTCGTCTAATAACACATTACCACCCCTTATTATTAGTAGTTCACCCAACGTAAAAGACTCGAACATAACTCTGACCCCTGTAATACAGGTGGAAGATGTTCTGTCTGAAAAAGTAGAGCTCTCTTACTTAACATGCATTATTAAAGAGATGCAGCTACAGATTGATGAATTAAAAACGAAATTAAGTTCATTTGAATGTATACCCGAAACTGTCTCACTTATGAAAAAGGAACTGCAGGATCCTACAATCCTAAAGCTTTTTAATATGACCTCTAGAATGACGCCTACTGACTCAGAAAATGCGAAGGAGTTAGAAAACGCCATTGACTTTCTATCCAGCGAAGTTGTTAAAAGGCTGGCTTCGAAACAAAACGCTATAGTGTATAATGTACCAGATAGCGAGCCCATTAAGTCGGTCCAGCACTCATTGCTGAAGGCTGCAAATCTCTTGAGTGCACCTTGTCAGTGCATTCGCCTAAGTAAAAAAGACCTAAAGCATCCCTGTCCTATACTCTTTAGGTTTGACAGCTACATAATAGCTGAACGATTTAAGAAGGCCGAAGATCTTCTGGCTACTGCCACTAAATTCAAGACTATTAAAGTAGTCTCGGATAAAACAACTAACCAAAGGCAAGCAACCAAGAACTCCTTCGATAGAAAGTTGACCACACCGAGAACTACACCTGGTATCAGTGCTAAAGTGTCGACGGACACTGAAGCACAGCAAGTCACCTGTATAGTGTTGGAAAAAAAATCGGCAAGTAAAAGCGACTCGAAACTCAGTAAGAGCAGTGTCACTGGGTGCAATCCTAAAGTACATGAGAGCACATCTGGAAAACCTGCTGACATACATGAGGTTGATATTGACTCACAAACTATGTCTGACCAGAAACCACTGGCAGACCACACTCAATCTGCATGCAAGCCCGAGAGTCCCGCAGTAGAAACTGCAAGAAAGACGACAAAGCCTAGAGTCCCACTCCAGACTTCGACATACCTCCCTCTCAATAAGTCTAATAAGCAACATGTCAGTCTAAAAAAAGACAATGCATGGGTAAAAAACCATATTCCCAAAAAAGTCATCCATCATGTGAATGAAAACACCCCTTCCCGAACTAGGAGTAATATGCCTAGCAACGCACATAACTTGGGAATGCAACGTAGAACGGATCATCAGGATATAAGGAGCACTAAACGGGGCTCATATAGGCACCATATTAATGCATATTCTTGTCCAAACTCTCACACTATCTGTGTTGAACCTCAGCAACATAATGAGTATAGATCGACACTTGACCCTCTCAATAACTTCACTCACACATGTGATGTGAGCCAATATGCATACGACTATGAAAGACCCATGAGGTACAACTACCAAGGTAATCTTAACACAGGGTACCTAGGTCAAGCAAACTATATATCACCAGTAAATGAACGCAGATACCCACCTATGGATGCTAAAAGTCAAAACATGCAACAGGATTATTTTCGGATGCAGCAAACAATAGCCCCACTCGCTGCACAATTCATCCAGGAAATAGTACACACACTGACTCTGTCTCACCTCAGAGCCCCTCCAAACATAACGTAGGAATAGTAACAAGTAACCATGTTAACCTCTCCCCCAATAACTCTGGTTTACTAACGATTATGCTCCTGAATGCTAGATCTCTCCTTAACAAAATAACATCGCTTCGCTGCCTGGCATACATAGAACGGCCAACACTATTAATGGTGACTGAAACCTGGCTTACTACTGATATACCTGACTCAAAGCTAGTAATAGACAACTACGACATCTATAGGAACGATAGAGTTGACAAAAGAGGAGGCGGCTGCTTAATATATGCCTCTAAATCCACTAACTCCAATACTTTCAATAACCCAACTACGGACAAACTCCCTGAATCTAAGTGGATAAGCATCCACACAAACGAAAATAAAATTCTCATGGGATGTATATACAGACCCCCTAATAGCCCTCAAATGACTGATATAACTATTGGAGAAATACTAGAGCATGCAGCTACGCTGGACTTTGACTACAAAGTAGTCTGTGGCGATTTCAACTTACCTGGAGTAAACTGGGATACCTGTACAGGACCTAGAATCCATGACGAGTTACTACAAGCTATAGACGTAGGCGGATGGAAGCAGTGCGTACGCCTCCCTACAAGAAATGAAAACACTCTTGACTTAATCCTTTGTCATGAAATAGAGCCCATCTCGATAGAGGTAGGAAATAAACTTGATAACAGTGATCACAACATATTGTACTGCACGCTACCATTCCGACTAACAACTAAACACACACCTAAAAATTCCCCGGTGCACTATCAGTATAGGGACTATAAGAATGCCGATTGGGAATTCCTATCAGATCTGCTGAGAAGTTCTGACTGGGAAGAATACTTCATCAACAATAACTTAGAAGTATCACTTGATATTTTCTACAAAACAATTGGCTCAGCAAGAGACATAATCGCGCCCCTAAAATCTGCTCTAAAGACACCAACTCCATTTATAGACCGCAAAACGCGACTAAAACTAAAGAAATTGAAAAGGAAATACCATGTATTTAAGGAATTTAATGCGTTAAACCAAATACATGAAACTCTTAAACGGCTTGAAGAGAAACACAAAATGAGGTCACAACTTGAAGAAAATAAAGCGCTTGTGGGCAACTCCAAAACTCAGGAACTTTGTAGGATATTGCAGAAACGTCTAAAAAGCAGTAAAGACAATACTGTAAGCAGCTTGGAACATAAGGGTATAATATACAATGATCCCCAGGTTATAAGTGAACTCCTCAATGAGTGGTTTTGCAATGACGCCAGAGTGCACCCGACCCAAAATTTCCAAATGACCTGCAAAAGTAACCACAAATTAGGCGGAATAGACTTTAATATACAAAATATAGACTCAGCGATTAAGACTTTGAAGTCTAATGGTAGTACTGGAACAGATGACATACCATCTGTCATGTACAAAAATGGTAGCACGGAAATGGTAGTCTTGTTACTTAGAATATTTACTCTCTCGTTGGAAACTGGAACTTATCCTGAAGTGTGGAAAACCACATACATATTACCTAAGCACAAAGCAGGGGCCAAAACCAGTGTATGCAACTATCGACCTATCAATATAACACCGGTAATATCCCGAATAATGGAGAAAGTGGTTAAAGACCAAGTGTCAGACAACTTACTAGAACATGAACTTATCAATCCATCACAACACGGATTTCTTAAAAAAAGATCATGTGTGACCTGTCACATAGACTTTTTCAATGAAGTTACACGAAGTAGGGACAACAGAGAACTAGTAATTGTACTATATTTCGATATAACAAAAGCCTTCGACAGAGTTCCCCATAATCTGCTAGTCAGCAGGTTATGCTCACTAGGGATATGTGATCCTCTCCTGAGCTGGATAAAATCATTTCTCTGTGGCCGAAGTCAGACAACGAAAGTTGGCTCGATAATCTCAAGGCCTCAACCAGTAAGTAGTGGTGTAATCCAGGGAAGTGTATTAGGCCCACTCTTATTCATAATATATATAAACAGTATCTGTGAATGCTTTAGTGTAGGTAAACCAATACTATATGCAGATGACTTAAAAGTGACGTATAAATGCAAGAACACAGATCTTGGAATAACAGTAAACGCCATACAGCAAGAATTAGAAAAAATGGATAGATGGTGTGACACCTGGCAACTCCAATTTAATGTCGAAAAATGTGGCTGGCTCTGCATAGGTTGCAACAATTTAGAACTTGACCTGAAAATTCAAGGCCATGCACTTCAACGACTGGAATCTGTACTGGACCTAGGGCTGAAATATTCACATAACTTATCATTTTCTGAACATATCTCCAAACAAGTGTCAAAGTCACGCAGACTTATCGGCTTTCTACTCAGGAACTTCTACAGAAATGAGTCTAGAATTCTGTTGTACAAGGTTTGTGTGCGTCCTTTATTTGATTACTGTTCATTCATGTATAGTAGCATACGCATAGAGGACAAATTGAAAGTCGAGGGAGTGCAGAGGTACTTCACGTTAAAATTACTCGGAACCGGAAATGGTACGAACTACTCCACTAGATGTGATACCCTAGGACTAGAAACACTATGGCTAAGACGCCTGAGACTAAACTTGACACTTTACCTTAAGCTTCTAAACCACTTAGTTTTTACCTCTACTAATGGCACTCGACTTTCAGATGACAATGGCTACAAACTAAGACACACTAAGGGTACAGTAGCTATCGAACAATGTAAAACAGCCACCAGGCAAAAGTTTTACTTGATTAGGTATGCACAGATATGGAATAAACTGCCAATGGAAATGCGTCAAGCAAGTACATTGGCCTCCTTCAAAAAGGTGCTTAATGACAAACTACAAGAGTTTGCAAACGATAGTAGTTCTAGTTCCTATCTGAGAGCCTCCGAAATTATAGGTCCATTTAATGTATAAGCTTAAATACTACACCTGTTGTTTTTGCCTATATTTATAATTCTAGATAAAACATTAACGGTTAACATACGTATCCTCAAACAGACAAGAAATCTCGTTTGTAAAACTACTACCCAACACAATAAGTGGAATAAAATGGACATAAACCGACAACATGAAAAAGGTATAACTCACCACAACATCACATGGACAGATGAACGCTCGTTGGGCACCATATATCCCTCACCAACTGCAACCCACCTTTCCTTAGATAGTGTGATGAACTTATATCCATAATGTTGCTGAGCAGTTAATATTCTCAACTCCTGTCGGAACAGCTGAATTTCATAAACCTTCCTCACGCTAAGAAAATACCCACAAGCAGTAGAAATCCATTCATTAATGCGTCCGAAGCTTATGTACTTACTCCAAACAATGACATCGCAGATCAAATGAGATAAACACATCACTGATTTCAAAATAACACATCAATGAACTATAATTCGAGGACTCTGCACACAACAAAGTTATGTATGAATATTTACTTCAAGCTTTATTTTTTTCCCAGGTACTTATAATCCATCCACCAAAGACCTGGTTTTTTTTGTTAATGCGAAGACAATACTCCTGTATTTCCTGTTGTGTTGCACTCACTGACAATCTAGCAGATTTTTCCATTTTTGCACAGAAATGATTGTATATAAGTGAAAAGGCTGTTTTATACTACTGGGATTAACATTTATTAAGTGTACGTATAATCTCCAGCGAACATGTAAAGCATATCTTGCTACTGCCTGTAAATTGTGATTGAATTATATGGTTCTATTTCTGTAACAATTTGATGATGCCTGTAAACTGGCGTCCCTCATGTACTGTACTATGAGAATAAATTTATTTATTTATTTATTTATTTATATGATAGACAGTTAATCAATATGATGTGACCTTCCTGTCGCGACTATTGGTCAATTTATTGTAACTCTCACCACGTGATGTTGACCTTGAATGTTCTTTTTTGTCTGTCACTCTATTTGTGTATACATGTAATTAATTGACTGTTCATTTTGTCCGTACTCTCAATACTGTTCGGTACGTTTTTGTCCTGTTTTTGTAATGACAATGGATTTGTACATTTTTCTTGGTGTAATTGTATGATTTATTTTATGTTTTAGAAACAGATAAAGTTGAAGTCAAGTCATTCTTTTTTAACTATAGTTAAACCCAGACTCTGTGTCGTCAGTATTGAGGAAGGACTACATCTGTAGGACAAAAATAATCCTACAACCAGTATGGCTAGTGTTAAACATTGTGAATCCATACTATCATTTCAAGGAGTCTCCACCCCCTTTTTGTATGAATATTGCAAATGTACTGTCAATGATGTGTTATCCATGATTTTGTTTTACACCATTTTGCAGTCGAGTGACACAATGACATTCTTAAAAGCTGTAACATGCAGTAACTTCATGTGTATGCTAAGAAAACAAAAGGTCTTCAATAATAATAATAACAATGATTTGCTTTATTCCAAAACAGTACTTGTGATACAGAATGGAATTCTGAGCATTCCACTACAGTATTGCATCCAGTTTTTACATTAACCATAAATAAAATTCTATATAGATTAAGGGTAATCTCAGTTTGTTTTGACAACAACATATTGGCAAGTCGGTAGCAAAGCCAAAATTGAACAGAGTGTTTGAAGGTGTTAGAAAGAAGATAATAGCATATTTACTGGCGTAAGCGGTAACAAAAGGTCGAGATATACAGAGTGTCAGTCTTTTGCCATGAAGCAGTTAGCCGAAGAGATTGTGACTGCTTAGTGATGTTCTGCACTTGTGCTGAAATTCTTTCACAAGTGCACTGCAAAATAAGCTGCTTGAATATTCCGCAGCATATGCTGTTAGCGCCATGTTGAGGGAGACGCCTCATCTGATTCGTAGCATTCTTCTTTGGCTGCTGACTTGATTTTCTTAATGATTGAGATACGAACTTCCCGTGAGAAAACTTTCGTTTAGGTTAACACCAACAATCGAAGTGAGCCGAATGTATATAAGGACAGCATAGTGGCCGATAAATTTGCATGACAAAAGAGATGATTCACTTCAGCGAATTATACTGTTGTAGCGGTAAATA